CGAGGGGAGCAGTGCGGGCATGGCCCCCCTCCGCCGGCCGACCCCTCCCCCTCTGTCCCCGGCAGAAAGTCCAGGTGGTGGTCACGGTGCTGGACTACGACAAGCTGGGCAAGAACGAGGCCATCGGCAAGATCTTCGTGGGCAGCAATGCCACGGGCACGGAGCTGCGGCACTGGTCCGACATGCTGGCCAACCCGCGCCGGCCCATCGCCCAGTGGCACTCGCTGAAGCCTGAGGAGGAGGTGGACGCTCTCCTGGGCAAGAACAAGTAGGAGCAGCGGCCGCCGCGGCCGCACGGCCGGCTCGGACCGACAGACCCAGAGCTCTCGATACCTCAGTTACGCCCTCGAGGTTCCCCCCCCTGTGGTCGAGTCCTCGTTCCCTTTCCTTTCTGTCTGTTTAAAGACCGGCTTCCCGCTGGCGGCTCTGAGGAGCGTCCCCAACCAGCGGACGAGGAGCCCGGCTCTTGTCACCACCCGGGAGCCGCCCGCTGCTGCATGCCCGTCACCGTCATCGTCATCGCGGTCCCATCGGGGTCCCTCGGTCCCAGCCTCGCCCGAGCCTCGCGGGAGTGAGGCCCTCTGGTGGCAGAAAGTTGCGGCGCGTCCCGTTTTTCGCGTGTTCTGGACCCACACAATGGCACTTCCTGTGTCCTGGGAGGGAAGGCTGCACAGTGGCCAGCGACCGTGTGCACACTTGTTCACATGTGTGTGCACACGTGTCCACATGCGGGTGCACACGTATACACGCAGGTGTGTGAGTGCATTGTGTGTGCATGTGTGTAAGGGCATCGTGCACACGTGTGTGTGAGAGAGGGCACTGTGCACACGTGTGTGTGCATGTGTGTGAGTGCATTGTGTGCATGTGTGTAAGGGCATTGTGCACACGTGTGTGTGTGAGAGGGCACTGTGCGCACGTGTGTGTGCATGTGTGTAAGGGCATTGTGTGCACGTGCGCATGTGCATGTGTGAGAGGGCATTGTGCACAAGTGTGTGCATGTATGTGAGCATCTCCACATTCCTGGAACGAGCCATGGACAGCGCACGTCTGCAGGAACGGAAGGCTCACCGGGGACCCTGACGCCACGGCAGGTCCTGGGTCTGCGTGGGAGGCAGCGGTGGCGAAGGCCCCGGACCCACTCAGCTGCCGGAAGCGCCCGCCCTCCTCACGGGCGACCCAACCGTCTGGGAGGCGAGCTGTGGGGATGGATCTGTCCGGAGCCAGGACCAAGCCCTGCCACCATGGAATTCCTGTGCTCAGCGCGGTGGCCCACGGGGGGTGGCTTCTGGGACATTCGTGGACGTGAGCCATTCGCCGGGTTGGTCGGCCTCCGAGAGGGACTGTCAGTCCCGGGATCTCATGCTCCTTGACCGTTCATCTCACACCACAAAGAACCAGGGGCCCCGTGACCCCGAGACCAAGCGCCCCTCCTGGACCCTTGCCCCCCCCACCCCACCCCAGCAGACGCCCCATGGTCCACGCCCTCATTTCCCATCATGCTTTGGCTTTTCTCTCTTAAACCAAGTGGAGCAACCTGTGGGCAGACCCGGCACCCGTGCGGAGCCAGAGGGAGCTTTACAAGGGACGTTGGCTGGTTTAGTCCCCGAGGTCCAG